ATCACGGCCAGGCATGGTGGCTCACGCCTGTAATCCTAGCACTCTGGGAGGCCGAGGCAGGAGGATCACTTGAGACTAGGAGTTTGAGACCAGCCTGAGCAAGAGCGAGACCCGTCTCTACAAAAAATTTTAAAAAATTAGCTGGGCATGCTGGTGCATGCCTGTAGTCCCAGCTACTCAGGAGGCCGAGGGGGGAGGATCACTCGAGCCCAGCAGTTGGAGGTTGCAGTGAGCTATGATGAAGTCAGTGTACTCCAATCCCGGCTACAGAGCAAGACCCTGTCTCAAAAAAATAATAATTAAAGAAAACACATTATATACTTTAAATATATACAATTTTCATATGTCAATTATGTATCAATAAAGCTGGAGGGAAATACTTACTTTCATAGCTTAAAAAAAAAAATTCATGTTCTAACCTCAGTAATTCCAGTTCACCATAATGAGCCAAAATTTCTAACGATCCAATTCTAAACCATGATTTTGCAGCACGCAGCACTATCGCACCTTAAAAAGAAACATTTATTTTAGCACAAGCTATGTGAATATACCAAAATATGTCTTTCTTAAAATTGAAATTATTTTAATAAAAAAGAATATAGTCACTGAATTTATCAGAAAAACAACTAATTTACCCTCCATAAAGGATTACGGGTATTTCTGTATCCCTTTAAGCCTGAATCGGAATGTTAGGAATCACATATTGAGAGAGCAAGACTCCAACCCAGCTAAGGCTGGGAGGTCGTTATCAGGCTCCAAACTTCGGATTCTCCCGTCTCATCAATTGTGACCTTTTCCCTGTTAACTTTATCCTAAAAAGGGAAACTAATGAATTATTTATTTTGCATAGGCCCTTATAGTAATTACAATTTGAAATAGAATTCATGATTTTGTCCTATAAGAAATGCTGTACCTACGTGAGTTCAGATTTCAAAATGAGGTCTACACCAAGGTGACGAAAGCCCCCTGCCCTGTGGGTGCTCCTTCAAGGGACCACCATAGTCACTGCTACCTCTGGGCCTTGGTTGGTGCTGTTCTCTCCTCATCCATATACCTGACTCCCTCTTGTCCCTTTACTGGACTCCTACCTAACCGTATGCTCAAGATCAATTCCCGCTTCCTCCATAAAGCTACACTGATCCATCCCATCCCCCTTCTACTGACCTCTGATATCTTACTGTTCATCTGTTCCATGTGTTTAAGTCTTTTCTCTACAAAGACCTGAGTTTCTTAAGACCAGGGACTACAACATAGCTCTTACTCCTGGGCCCCTTAGCTCAACAGTAGTCACAGAAAAGGGCCAATTAGTATTTTCAGGGATGATGGAATTATCCACACAGTCAGGACTTATCCACAATACTAATCTGGATATTTATTTTCATGTGGTTTTTTTTTTTTGAGCAATAAAATGTACTCACCTATAAAAATATATATAGAAGCTCAGTAAATTATTATAAATGTTTAGTTTAATGACTAGCTATTGAATCACTAGATGTTAGCACTGTAAGACACAGAGGTAATCTAATCTCATTTTTTTAGGTGAAGAAACTGAGGCACAGATTGTTTCAGTGACTTGCCCAGGTCACAAAGCTCGTTCCTGCAGAGCCAATTCCAGGTTTCACATATTCTTCTTTCCTGCCTGGCGCTATTCTCACTGTACCACAGTGGATCCTATGCAAATGTTAGGGTAAAAGCACAGTCGAAATATCTGTATATAGGTGAAGCCCTGGATACGGAAATTCTATTAATTAATGGGTTAATAGAAGAAATATTTGGGATCATTTAAACCATTAAGATTGTGGCTCAGAATTCAGATATGCACTATATATAGATAAGTCACAGCCACAAAAGTTAGTAGTGTTGTACCGGTCACACCAACAGTCTGTGACTGTACTCTCATATCCAATCGCCATAAGCAAGAAGACCTAAATAGTTATTATATCACAGGCCTGTGTGCGATAGTATCATTTTATCCAGATGAAATTAAAGAGGAAAGAGAGAGATGCCATAAAGAGAACTCTTCACTCCTTTAAGCATGAATACTTCGGGGGGATAGTTTTTTTTAATGAAACTCATATAAAAACATATTGCTATGGTCTGAAAGTTTGCACCCCCCCAAAATTCAAATGTTGAAACCCAATTACCAAGGTAATGGTAATAGAAGGTGGAGTTTCTGGGAGGTAATTAGGTCATGAGGGCTCTACCCCTGTGAATGGTTCAGTGTCCCTATACAAGAGGCCCCAGAGAGCTGGCTTCCCCTTCTGCCCTGTGAGGACACAGTGAGAAGGCACCGTCCATGACGCAGAGAGCCCTCGCCAGACACTGAATCTGCTGGCACTTTGATCTTGGACTTCCCAGCCTCCAAAACTATAAGCAATAGACTTCTGATGTTTATAAATTACCTAGTCTAAGGTATTTTGTTACAGCAGCCCAAACGGACTAAGGCACGTATTATGCACTAAGTATGAAGAACACAAAATGTGCTCTGGTGAATCACTGTTGACGTCACCAAGAACGCTGTCCTGTGACGCAGTGATGTCCACGGGACCCACTACAGCATGAACGGCCGTCAAAAGTTCTTGACAGCTCTGCTTTTTAAGCTCTTAAATATGCTTATTATTGATTTTCAGGTCTCTTCCTCTCTCCAGAGATTCATGGCCAAGTCTCTCGCGTTCTCTTTTTGCTACTCTCAGTGTGCCTTTCCCATCCCTTTTCTAATCTTTTATTTCTACACTACTAAGGGCTAAGGAAAAAGTTAACTGAGCTTATTGGAAGTAAACATGAAGACTTGCGGAATGGTCTGCCGGGCTTTCCTGGGAGGAAAGCATATGAGCTTTCCTGTACTGGCTTTGTCACATCTTGCCAGCTATTCATAAATATTTTTTGTTCACTTCCCAGACGTTTGCTGTTCGAAATGGATGGATTAGCGACGTAGAGATGTGGCAAAGGATATTGTACTATAATATGCTGAAATTACATCTTGAAGAACCATGGGTTATATTTTTTAAGAAGACTGCAAAAAATGTCCAACATCTGTTGTTAAGAACTTAGTCCAGTTTTATTCACACATTCTAAAAATTGTTGTTACCTCGTTCTTTCGTAATATTTCCATTGTAAAACTGATCTCGCCACACTTCATCATCGCTTACAACCAGACTGAAACATAAGGGCATCAAACAAAGTTACATTTTAAATGCTATCAAGAAGTACCTGAAACAGTAAGGCACTGTAAGAAATCTTGCTATCAGAGACTTATCTGTTCAATTTATGGACATGTTTCTGGAGATAACATGACACGGTCCTCAAAGTTAGCTCTCCGTGAAAGAGGAATTACCTTGCAGCTCGGCTAGTTGGAATTCCAAGATAGTGCATAGCCTCACTGCACAAAAATTCCCTCACTGAGGAACGAAGAACAGCTCTACCATCACCATTTCTAGAGGAAATAAAATTCAAAAGATTTTCATTTGTAATTAAGACAACATGAACTTTTATTTAGATGACTAAAAAAATTACCAAACTGTACCGGGAGTATGGGGTCTTTCCTGAGCCTTTTAATTGGAGCTCCCATTTTTCACCTTGTCTTCAATAAAAGACTACATATTAGAAGAGTCATGTTAATATTAAGCAAAAAAGCTATTACACAGGAAAATAAGTGGTACCTGTTCGTGTAAATTCCAATAAGGTGGGCTCTTCCATCCCCAAGCTGATCTGCCCATATCCCAAACTAAAGAGGAAAAAGGAAAATTATTGTTTATTAATCTTTATCTAGCTTTTTATTTTTTATTTTCTTTTTTGGAGACAGAGTCTCGCTCTGTGTCCTGGCTAGAGTGCATTATAGCTCACTACGACCTCCAACTCCTGGGCTCAAGCGATCTTCCTGCGTCAGCCTCCCGAGTAGCTGGGACTACAGGTGAGCGCCACCATGCCCAGCTAATTTTTCTATTTTTTGTAGAGATGGGGTCTTGCTCTTGCTCAGGCTGGTCTCAAACTCCTAAGTTCAAGCAATCCTCTCGCCTCAGCCTCCCAGAGTGCTAGGATTATAGGCGTGAGCCATGGCACCCACCCTATATAGCTTGTATAGGAATTTTTATAGCCAAAGCCATTTTGCGAAAATTGAGAATGAAGTATTCCATTTTAGGATAACAGTCAATAATTGGAATAAAATAAAATTCAATCAATCAAACATGAGTGAAACTCACTTAATAAAATATAATTTTTTTGTAGAGAGAAGGTCTTACTATGTTGCCCAGGCTGGTCTCAAACTCCTGGCCTCAAGGGATCTTCCCAACTTGGCCTCCTAAAGTGTTGGGATTACAGGCATGAACCACTGAACCCTGCTGCATCAAATATAAATTTAAAACATAATTCATTCCTTCATCATCTTATAGCTAAGCTCGAATTTAATAGGTGTACAACACCTAGAAATGATCTATTTAACTAAAGAATATGAACTAGGAACAATTTATGAGTAGAAGATTGCCTCTATTATATGAATGCAATATAAAATCATGAGGTACACTTGTACCTCAGAACACTGCTTTTCAACTTGCACAATTAACTGTTCGCAAATTTTTCTGTTGAGATTTATTTACGGCTCTTCAACTCCCACTATGCTACTTGCTAGCTGTGGAAATCTGTTTGAGTTCCTTAATCTCACTAAGACTGACCTGTCTGTCATTTCCATAAAATGGGATAACCCTTCCCAGGTTGTAAGAATGACTGGTAATGTAGGCAAAGTGCTTTGTACTATGTCTGACATAAGCAAATGCCCAAAAGATGGTAATTATTATTGCAATACTGTATTGCCAACAATCATTTGCTAACTTAGATATCACTCCACTCTCAACATGATGTTACTTCCACCAGAAAGTCTTCTCTGACTTTCTGGGACTAGGAGGGTGGTCCTGTAAGTTTCCATAGCTCCTGCACTTATCCTTATCACAACCTTGGTGTTAACTGGAATTCACCTATTCATCTATCACTCCCTTAGAGTAGCAGTAATTTGAGAGAAGGAGGTGGGTCTCATTCACACTTATAGCTCCTGGCACATAAAAGAAGTTCTATAAACAGCTGTGGAATATTTAAATGATGTTCAATCTCTGGAAGAAAAACATGAAATTGAGAAAAATCTATCCAGTATTTTAATTTTTCATCTTAACCAGGAACAGACCACCACTAATTAATTTTAGCAATGGAATACCTGTTAAGAGCACAAGTCTGAGGGTGCTCTCAGCACATCTGGACAGGTAAGTCCACCATATATTAAGTCTATCCCACACCGTGAGAGGGAAGTAGAAGGAATGATGAATCCAGAGCTGCGAGTGAAATCAGGGGAATTAGAAAGCTAGTTTTCCATCAAAAAGAGAAACCAATTATTAGAATGTTCATTCAAAATGGCAAAGTCATCCTTATAAATAAATACTTACAATTATAATTTCAGATCAGGGAGAAGCAAGAGATGCATGTGAAATAAGTTAATAAATAAATAATGTGATAAAAGCTTTAGTTCTAATTTACTACACTACCAAAAGCAGACAAACAAACAAAAAACCTACAAAAAAGAATGGCTTAACAAAATTCTGCAGGGCTTACAGTTTGTATTTATACCTTAACAGCATATGTGAGCACCAGCATAAAATGCTTTCAAACAAATTTAACCCACATGGGAGATGGATTTTTAAACCATCCTTGCATGTGAGTACTAGAAAAGACGAAAAGGAGCACGCATTCCAAAGTTTCTAAACCAAGAAACACAGTTCAGCCAAATATTAATAGTTATCCCATATAAACAACAAAACTGTGCAGTCAAATATGTTTGGAAAATGGTGTGTTCAATAAAATTAAGCAGATATCTTTGCCGTAGCACTTCTCACAACGGGTACGGTCTGGATCAACTCCCTCATATTACAGATTAAGAAAACTGAGGTTCAGGTTTGTCATAGATGTCTCTTAAAGTCCTTCCAATGGTTTATATTACTTTGCTTCTTAGCCTACAGGACTCTGAAGAAGAAAGGAAACACCAGGCCAGGTGCAGCAGCTCACACCTGTAGTCCTAGCTACTTGAGAGGCTGAGGCAGGAGGATCGTTTGAGCTGAGGAGTTGGAGGCTACAGTGAGCTATGATGATGCCACTGCACTCCAGCCTGGGCAGCAAAAAAAAAAAAAAAGAAAAGAAAAGAAAAGAAAAAGAAAAAAAGAAAAGAAAAAAATACCTAACACAATAATTATAATAATGGGTAACGTTAAGCACTCTTCCTGTATTTCCTAATTTAATCCTTACACCAACTCTGTTATACTATACTACTTGTCCTAAAAATTATTCCTGAGTAAACCAGCATTATCAAAATGACCCCACCCCAAAACCAGAGTATTTAATTAATCTTATCTAGTTTATAGGAAAGTCACAGAAATTTCAACAATTGATCCCCATGTTCCCATTTCCTCTTTTTAAAAAATTAGTCAGATACCACGCAAGTTCAGGAACTTGTTTCAACATCTCATCTCTAGAATGTGCTTTAATTGCTTCATGGCTGCTGTAGCATATAAAATACCCCATAAATTCTTATTTACTGCCTTTCTACAACTTTGTTCTATGGCTATCCTGGGAAGATTATAATCTATTTGTCTTTCTGAGACTTTTATACTGATGCATTATGCTACTTGATTTTGCCTAAAATTCTTGCCAAAACTGCACTGAATGAGTTCCCTAGCAATAATTCACAGAAATTTTATGTTTGTGCTGCCCCAATCTTCTCAATTTGATTAAAAGAACTTAAGCTCTGGTTTCATCACAGCAAGAAATAATATCAGCTAATCTATAGACATTGTATGACGACACATTCTTCTAGGAACATCTTATTGAAGTCTTAATACGCTAATATTAGAGAAATTAATGCAAAATAATTTCTTTAATAGGACAGCATTTCCACCAAATGATTATATTTGCATAAAGGAAGCGATGCTGTTGCTACTCTTACCTGGTGGCCCCCGTATCGGTGGGCCAATGGAATGGATCCAAACACTATCTTTTTGCCACTTACAAGCTGGATAAAATCATCTGTTTTTGACACAGATAAATCAAGGTCCAAAATATCTTCTAGAACTTCCTGAGGCAGGAAAAAAAAACGGTTATAAACTTAAGTAATCTTTTAATAATTTTTAAGAATAGAGACTTAATAGAAGAAAATTTTTTAAAACCTCTTTTAAATCTCTTCCCAAAATATATTATTAACATTTTTTCATAAGAGATACACCACACTTTCTATGATTATTTATGCTATTTGGAAAAAAATCGTTCTATTAGATGGCTCTAAAATTTTTATGGATTTCTTGTGATGTATGGTAAAATAATATTTTCCTAGCACAGGTTCTTTTAAGGAACTAGAAAAAAATAAATATCCTATCTTTATCCCAAACTCATTCATGAGAGAACAATTTAGAATCTGCTGTTAGAAACCATTTCTAAATGTTACCTATACTAAGAATTTAACTTATTTCCCCCTTTTTCACAAAAGCATGTTTTCCTTGTAAAATAACTTCAAGATGAAACTGAGTACCATAATCCAAGAATAAGTATCAAAAACTGATTTCTAAGAATGACATTCTCCGAGTATTTGAATTTCAAGCACAAATATAGTCATTTATAAATGACTAATATTAGCTGGGAATAAAATATTATATCTTTTTAGACAAATATTTTAGTGAGTTAAGTATTTGTGTTATGAAAAAATAAAGCCTAACCTTTGAAACTGCTACAAGACGTACTCTTGATTTGAAAGGAGTCGGGAAGGCAATTGAAAAAATACAATTTTTCACTTTACGAACATAATTTTCTTTAACAGGATCAACTGGCAACACAGCTGATAAAAAAAGAAATCCTTCTTAATGTTCTCATTTGTTGCATATACAGCATTAATATTCTTTAGAAAGACTATAGTTCTTCAAGAAAATCAACTTAAGTCCCTGTTTTCTCCATATTTTGTTATTTTTAAAAGCTACTTCACCATTTTGAACATGATTCAACACTCATATAAGCATATGGAACTGTCCAAGAAGATGAGAAATGGAAAAAGTTTAAAACAAGACACACACCCTATCTTCAAAGATTTTCACTCATGGAAGACAAATAGGAAATGCAACATATTTATAAATAGGAACATGTAAATAAAATGGTGGTGAGTTGCACTACAAGATTTGAATTACAGTAGTCAGTTCAATGGAACCAAGAAATATTAGGCATGTAATTAATCACATGCATTCTGCCCTTTAGAAACTCACAATTAACTGAAGGAAACAGATATCCAATATACATAAATAACTCTAAGACCAGGCAACGCACGGTTTACTAGATGTACAAAACTGCTCTATCCCACATTTGATACCTGCCTGCTCACTAGGCTAGAATTGCCTCTGAAGAGACAAACTATGTTTCATAAAGTCGACACACTAAAGCACATGTACTGTATTTTAAAAGCTGTAGAGGAAAAGAGAGCTTTGAACATGCTTTAGATACTTAGAACATATTTATTAAAACTTACTTTACATACAATACTTAAACTCTTAATCTGTTTTAATGCAAAGCAATTAAAACAAAAAACAAATAGAATAGGTGTATTAATAAAACCACAAGACTGAGGGACACAAAAACCTATGTTTCTGATAGAGATTATATGTCAAAATGTGTCACCAAATTATCTAATGAAGATTATGGGAATCCAATCAAAATCTTGGTAGAATTTTTTTGAAGAAACAGACAACCTTAATGTGCAAATCTGGAAAAATAAGCAGATTAATTTTTTAAAGAAAAATGAGAGTATGCTTATCATATTAAAGTTATAAGAATGCAAGAACTAAAAATATTGTTATCCTGAAGATGTGAAGATCAATGGAACTCAATAAAAAGCACAGAAACAACCCCAAGTTATAAAAGAATTTCCTATATAATGAAAATAATATTTCAGATCAGTGGAGAAAGGTAGCATAAGGACAATTTGCTCAACTGTTTGGAAAAACTCCAATTTATTCTATCCATGCCTAAGTGAACTAAATATCGATTATAACAGCAATAAGAGTAATCTTACATCTTCCTCAAATGAGTAACCAAAACAGGCAAGTAAGAGCCATATTTAACCCTTTGTACTCTCTCGAGTCCATGGTGAATAAGGCAGCAGCATCCTAGGCAAACAAATGTGTAATCAACCAAAAAACAAACGATTTCAACATTCACCATGGAAAACTTGACAATATAATTAGAAGATCCAATCATATATTTTCTTCTCTTCTAGGAGAGCCTCTGTGTGAAATTCACTAAATTATATAATTGATGCACTCTCCTTTATGATGCGTAACATCTGGCAGAGCACGGGCAGTATATAATATTCCATTAGTAGTTACGATTTTGTACTGACTGATGCACTTTCTGGCAAGATCAGTCATCACAAGTGATCACCGGCCGTGGAACAGAAAAAGGCTAATTGCTGGCCGGGCACGGTGGCTCACTCCTGTAATCCGAGCACTCTGGGAGGCCGAGGCGGGCGGATTGCTTGAGCTCAGGAGTTCGAGACCAGCCTCAGCAAGAGCGAGACTCCGTCTCTACCAAAAATAGAAAGAAATTAATTGAACAGCTAAAAATATATAGAAAAAATTAGCCGGGCATGGTGGCGCATGCCTGTAGTCCCAGCTACTCGGGAGGCT